CGTCCTCTCTGCACGCAGATGGAAATGCCAGTTTGCAGGTGAGACCCCACTTGTCTCAGTGCTGAAACCTCAGTGATCGATCGTATTATTTCCCATCGGTCACCTCAACGCCACTAGTGCGGGCATTTGAGAATTTCTTTGAGTCAGGATGTATCTGACAAGGACAACAGATAATCATTTCCAGCAGATCTCCAGGGGACAGAGTGACATATTCTAGCCCTCAGATTTTTACGTGGTTACTCTTTCTTTTTAATTTAGATGTTTTAGTTCATGGGTACAATTTAGATCTGCCATACAGTTACGCTCATCATTGGGATCTTGCACCTTTACATAATGTATTTGTTTCTTCTTTTTTCCCATTTCCTCTGCCTTCTCTTCACCCTGTCCACCCTATCTATTTACAAAGACTTTGTTTCCATGTTTTTCCTTTTCTCTTATTTTCCCTTCTTGCTTTTCCCCTACCCCTCTGACTCCTTTAGACCTTTTCTTCCTATTACACAATATCAATTATACATTTTAATCCTTGTTTACAATTTTTAGATTTTCACACCAGAGAAACTTTGGTATTTACACGTGTCCTATTTATTTCGCTTAAGAGTATGGCCTCAATGTGCCTCCACTTGCTATAAATGTCTCAAGTTTCTCATTCTTTATGGCTAAGTAATACTCCATTTTATAGAAAAACTACATCTTCTTTATCTAGTCTCCAGTTGATGGGCATTTGGGTTGTTTCCAACTTTTTGCTATTGCAAATTGTGCCACTATAAACATGGGTGTGCATATATCACTGTGGTATGATTTTTTAAAAAATCTTTTGGGAAGAGACCCAGCAGAGGAATACCTGGGTCAAATGGGACCTCTATTCCTAGTTTTTTGAGGTATCTCCATACTAATTTTCACTGTGGTTGCTCCAGGCTGCATTCCCACCAACAATGAAGAAGGGTTCCTTTTGTCCCACAACCCCACCAGCATTTGTTATTGGTTGATTTCTTGATAGCAGCCATTCTTGCTGGGGTGAGGTGGAATCTCAGTGTTGTTTTCATCTGCATCTCTCAAATGACCAGTGATATTGAACATTTTTCATATGTTTATTTGCTGCTTTTATTTGTTTGTCTGAGAAGGGTTGGACCATTTCAGATGCCCATTTTTGAATTGTGGCTTTATATTTGGGGGATATGATTTATTTGAGTTCTTTATATATTCTAGATAGTAGACCTTTATCTGAGGAACAGTGAGTAAATTTTTTCCCACGTTGTAGGTTGTCTCTTGGCACTGTTGGTAATTTCTCTTGCAATGCAGAAGCTTTTTAAAAAGATGATATCCAGTTGTTGATTCTTTGTGCTAGTTCCTATGGTACTGAGGATTTGTTCATAAAGTCTTTTCCTATGCTAATATCTTCAAGAGTTCTTCCTGACTTATCTTCCAGCAATTTAGTGTTTCTGTTTTAATATTTAGATCTTTAATCCACTTATATTTTAGTTTAGTGGATGGTGAAAGATACAGGTCTAGTTTTAATCTTTGGCAAGTTGAAATCCAGTTTTTCCAACACCATTTATTAAAGAGGCTATCTTTCCTCCAGTGAGAATGATTGGCTCCTTTGTCAAAGGAGTTATGTCTGGAGTTGTTTCTGCATCTTCTAATCTATTCCACTGATCCTCAGGTCTGGTTCTTTGCCAGTACCATGCTGTTTTTATCACAGGGGCTTTGTAGTAATGTTTCAAGTTGGGGATTATGATATCCCTGCCATGTTTCCGTGGTTACTCTTGTCCTTGTGTTTTTAGAAAATTGTCAAGAACAAAAACAAAAATATCATTGGTCTCTAGAAACAAAATGTTCAAAACGAATTTTTAATAATGACATTGTTTTTAACAATATTAAGTACAATTGTGATATTATTACTTGACATTCCTCAACTTTTTCAATCACAACCTGCATGACCTTATATGCTGTAAATGTCACACATATGCTCTCTATATAGTATACATGTATGATGTGCATTGATTTCACACAGAACTTGCTTATGAATATCACTGGGCAGCATCTATTTCTTTTTATTTATCCTTCCCCTCTTTCTGAAAAAACATAAGACAACTTAAAAGGAGAAATAAAAATTAGAAGAATAGATGTAAGAAAGAGCTCATAAAAGCTTAATAGAAGCAGCACGTGAAGATGACAGCAGCTATTGGCACACGGCGGCGTGTGTTGTCATCGTGCAGAATGGCATCGAAATCAAACGACTGTTCAGTCACACAGTAAAGCTGTATCGGCCATTAAGTGGTGACCTCACAGTTGCTGCAGATTTTCTCAAGGTGAAAATGACAGCAAACGCGTCAACAATGACATCTTTTGGGAGATAAACACGCACTATTTTCTGTGTCTTTCTCTTCTTGATATTTTGGTCTAGAAAAAAATTTCTTCCCTGTGACCTTTTCTTTGTAGACACATCTCATCAGGTTGTCTAGAGGACCGTGTTCCAAAGGTGGGTGTACTAGTGTTACTGGCAGTAGCACACCTGTTCAGGCACTAAGCATGGCCTTATGATCCCATGGAATCTTGAAAAAGTTAACCTCTCTGAAGTAGAAAAGAGCATGGCAGTTACCAGGGGCCACAGAAACAGGGAGAACAGGTGCTGGGGAGATATTGCTCCAAGATTCCAACGTGATCAAATACCGCTGAATACTTAAAACATTTATTAAAGGCATATCACCATGCATGCCCCTGAAAATCCTCCTGGAATTGCTTCAGAAAATGGTGAGAAAGCATGTTGTCCAAGCAAGAGTGAGTATTTTGAGGGGAATTCATGGCAATATGTCTTATAGTGTATGAAATGTCTTTAAAACTTAGATATTCACTGTATATTTTGACTACCTCTTGCATATAATTACAGTTGGAGAAGAGAAGTAATTCGAGAGGTCTATTATAAATCATAGAAACTATGCCTAAAGGCAATATATTTTATTCTTGAAAATACAAAAAAATTAATTGTTTTCACCACAAAAAATTGAAGGAAAAGTATAAAAAATAACTATTAACTATTATACACAAATGCATAGCTTAAAAATGCTTATATACAAAATTAGCATTCTTGAAAGCAGAGACACATTCCTATTTAGGGTTTGAGGTTATGGAAGCAAGAGCTCTTGATCAATTTATCTAATTTGGTGAGGGAAAGATTTAAGATTCAGGTTCAGGTCACTGATTCCAAACTTTATAATCTTTTCATTTGGTCTTGAAATGGAGCCAAGTTGTTCCTTTAAACCACATGTGCTGTTTATTATTTTCATTTATATTGAAAAGCTTTTCTCTGAAGCTTGATCCAATCGGATAGAATGGATTGGGTGGAATGTCATCGCACATTGACTACACCGGAGAAGTTGTCCCGAGTGGGAAAAGCCAGCTGAGTCTCTGAATCTACCGAGGGGATCTGGAAGGCCACTATCCATCCTTCCCCCGGGGAGTTATGGAAGTGCAGGTTGTTGTGGCTGACAGGTGTGTATTCTTCCTCATGCTGAGTTGGTCTCTGCTCTCACCCCATGCACATAAACACACAGATACTCACATACACGTCAGTTCTTTTCCGTGTTCAGGTTTTAGGACCTTTGGAGAATTCCACAGAAACCTTGTTTAACGTGTAGACTATGAATTATCATTATTGATCTCATCTCACCAATAAGACTTAGCCTGTCAAAGAGGGTGGTGGGTGTGCAGAAGTGTCCTGCTTGCTAGAAAGGCAATTCTGAAGCTACGTCACAGGCAGGCTGCCTAATTCCATAGCTCACTCTGCTCTCGGACCACTGGCTCAGAGAAATCACCCTGACCCCGATGCTTCTGTGTCATCCACAGGACAAGGGCACTGGACCTTGCCCTGCAGCGGGTGCAAGACTGGACTCTGGGAAGCTGCCATCAGAAGGAGTCAGGAGCTCTCCTGGGCCCCAAGTCCCTGTCTGATCCCCTACAAACAGCCCTGCAGTGGGCCAGTACAGGGCTGGGTGCTGCTTTCTGCACCCCCAAACACACACACACCTTAGGGCCTCAAGAGTGGGCTAGAATTCAGCAGCGCCAGTCCTGACTCCTTGACCCAAAGCCACTTACAGTTTATGGCCCAAGCAGCTGCTTCCTGTCACTCCTCCTTCAAGCCTCATTCAGATTCATGTCATTCCTCTCTGCCCCTGAGGGTCAAAGTCCTCCCTTACCTCTTAGTGTAACTTGGACCTCATCTTCCTTTTCCCTCTATTACAAATATATGACTTTCTGGTCAGATTCACAAAGTGCTCAGAAATACATTTGTATAGAACGTGCTTGCTCTTCCATGCCCTGTCCAAACCTTTGCCACCTCTGTCACTATCTTTGAAAACTGCCCCACTGTGTGGGAAGAATGTGTCAGACCCGATGACCCAGTGGCGCCTCCGGGTCCCCACAAGGCTCCCCACAATGACACTCAGTCCCAAGAGTCCTTTCACAGCAAACTTAACAGCTGAAACTGGCAACTGGTAGCAAAAGCAACACTGTAAACCTTGCTGGGGAAACTGCAGTGTTAGGCACTGACTGATGAGGAGCCAGCATCCCAACACGGACTGGGGAAGCTCTTCCTGACTCTGGGAACTTGGGGATGTCTGGGGTGACACGGTGAGAGACACACAGCTTATGAACTCAGTCCATGTGGGCAAAGATGTAGAAGGGAATGCTGCATACTGTAAGAGGGCCTCCCCTTCCAAATGAGTTACTGACCCCGTCAGTCCAGGAATAATATATTCCCCATCTGAAATAATCTTAACAGGTAATTTTATTGAAATTAAGACCAACAGCATGTATTTCACACACCTGCACTCATATTATACACACATGCGTACACATGTTTTGGTGTATGCATATGTGTACATATAAGTACACATGCATATACCACACCTGTGCATATGCAGAAGAGCCATATGAAACCCACAAACCCATACATGCATAGAGACATGGTTTAAAATATAGTTTCCATCATCTTTCAGCTGTGGTGACATTGAGAGACCAGATGACTTATCAAAGGACAGCTGGGGATACTATAGTTCCCAAAAGGAGGAAGGCCGGGCCATGTGGGGGACATGAGAGTCAATCAAGGGGCCACGGGGCACAGCGAGGACACCAGCCAGACTTGACTGTGGCATCTGCAGGAAGGAATGGATGGGGTGTGCAGAGCAGGCTCAGGGTTGGCTCATTTGAAGACTCTGGAGGGAATTGTCCCCATCCCTGGGTGGTTAGACAGAGGCATAAGCCCAGGGCCAAAGTGTGAAGACTCAACAAAGAAGATATTTACAAGCTGGGCTCTGGGTTACCTGGTTTGCATTCAAAAAGTGTGCTCAGGAGTTGGTGTCCCTTGCCAGCTCTGTCACCTTAGGTGGGGTGGTCTCTCCAGGATGAGCAGTGCCCCATCACGATATGCATCAAAAACACAGAAAATATTTAAAATCACTAATGCAAGGTAGAAGAAGTTAAATCAGTTTTGCAGAAGATTGTATCTGTCCTTGTACATAACCACAATAAAGACTGTTTAAAAATGTTATGCTTATAGCACATTCACAAATAATTTCTTGCTTCAACGATACAAATTCCTGCAATGAAGATAAAGACATGTCCTCTTTTAAGGAAGAATACATAAGTTTTTATTTAAAGTATAATTTCCTTCCTGTAATACATTGACAATGGGCTAAATTGTTATTTAACCCATTAAAAGCATATTATGAAATACATGCAGTTGGTCTTGATGTTAATAAAACTACAGTGTTAAGATTACCTTGGAAAGAGAATTATATTATGCCTTCTTGTATTCTCAACATTTAGCAGTCTAGCTGTTTATTTAACTATTAAAATGAAATAATAAGATGACCAGGATGAAATACAGGGTGAGTTTTTATAAAACATTAAGCCTTCTTCAGGTAACCTCAGTGCATAATCATTTTTTGGTTGCTGGGACAAAATATGTGTCCTCCGACCTAAAGGAGGAGAAGTTTGTCCTGGCCTAGGTTTCAGAGGTTGCAGTCCATGGTCACCTGCCTCCAAGGCTGAGCGAACACAGTGGGAGAAAGGGGAGGAAGGGGGCTATGCAGCAGGGTGCTGTCAAAACGGTTACACACTGCGGGGTTAAAGACGGGGCCGCACAACAGACTAAACATAGAACACTTGGCAAAGGGCTGGTTAGGGGCCCAAATATATAAAGATCTGTTAATCATCAATAAGAAGACATTAGTTCAATTAAAAAGAAGTTCAAGGAGACTAAGGCCAGTTCAGGAGAAACAGATTTCTATTTCCATCCTATGCATAGGAAAATAGCAGTACAGGCACCGAAAGAAATACCAATTAAAAATGAAATTCTATATTTAATTATCAGATAAATAAGAACTAAAGGGGATTTCAGTGTTTAGAGGACACAAGAGCTCCTGTTAGTGCACTGGTAATGGGGATGCGAATCAGTGCAGCTTTTCCAGAAATAAGTTGCCAATATACGTGACAAGCCTGTTTTCATGTAAAGTGTAAAAAAACCTGTACACTTTGTAAAGTGTCAAGCGTAAAACAAACTTGTAGAACTGTGTACACTTTTAAGGTGTAAAAAAACATTTATACACTTTGTATAAATTCTAGGCATATATGATGAGGAGATATAAAAAGTGGATGAGGATTCAGCCATAAAGATGTTTGTCACAGAATTACTTACAATGATCAAAACCCGGCAATGTGGAAGACATCAGACCTTAGAAGAATCGCTGTACACGTCTCGTAAGTAGAAAAATGCTGCCCTCCTCCCCTTGGGCTCCGGGGCAAACAAGCAGCAGGAAAAGTGCAGCAGCCTCCCGGAAGTTCCGGTGCACCCAGGACAGGGCCTTGCCGGGCTCGAGGGCAGGCGCGGTCATTCGGTTCCACTCTGGGGAAAAAGGGATGGAAATGGATGGGAATCCCCAGCAGGAGTGGAACAGGGAGCAAGGGAGGAAGGGAGGTGAAGGCTGGGGAGAAACGAGCGAAGCTGGTATCTCTGAGATACTCCTGGACCAGGCCCCGTGTGGGCACCGGAAATACCACCTGCAGGGTTGGCCTGGAGCTGCAGAAGCCTTCCCTCACCGAGCTTCCCCACAGCCACACACAGACGTCCTCAGAGAGATGGTCTTCATTAAGGACAACAGCTGAAATTCGTACAGGAGTCAATGGGACACTCACAAGGAAACCTTCAGTGAGACAGTAAGAAGAGTCTAAGAACTATTGTAGGGGGAGCCCCAGATTAGAGTCCGGATGGGGGCAACACCCCTTGTAATTTACAGCAATCCCGGTGAGGCCACTGAAGTTCCACAGTCTGTTATGTGGGGATTTCCAGCCAGTCTTAGCTACGGCTTCTGAAACAGGTTGACCCCAGTTGCTGTTTCCATTGTCCAAATATAGAACTCCATGCAGGCCTTCAAGGGAGTTTCAGGAGAATGTGTAACGACAGATAAGGTTGTCCACGTTTTGTCATTAGCAGGCAAGCGAGCATGGAATTGTACAGCCAGTATTGTCATTGAATCATCTTACATTTTTATATGCAGAGAGAAGACTGATGGAATATAAAAGATGTTATAGTGACTGAATATGGGCTAAGTCTTTTAATACTAATTCTTGTCCTCTGTTTACCTCTATTCTGTACAACAGAGCATGTAGATTTCTTTCTGAAGGAATCAGATGCATGGACTATTGCTGGGATTGTCTCTGTCTGCTTTCTACCACTGCACACAGGGAGTACAGGGAGGCATGAGGGAAGAGGGAGGAACCTTACCCAAATGTTTGGGTAATCACGAGCACATGATAACCTTCACCCTCCCTTTAAACCTAGTTCTTACATGGCTGGTGACATCCAGTGTTAGACGACTGGGTTTACAAATCGAGCATCCAAGTTTGATTTGGAGGGGTTGGGATATTCTGGGATATTCCTTCCTGTGGCTGCTAATTGAAAGCCTCACTGGGTAATTTGCAGGGTTGGGAACTCCGGAAGACTCCGCTCTGCTCTGAGCTGTCTGCTATCCAACATGGTGACCACAGCACCCTGGATGATATGCGTTATGTTAACAGAGCTAAAGTTCTCCCCGTGGGGATTCAAATACCATGTTTGACACAAGTAGTGTCTCAAACCTCCGTCTCAGTGACCCATATTCAAAGTTGTTTTTTATCGTCCTTATCTATCAAATTACAGGGTAACATTGTCTTTCTCGCTTGCACGGGCCAAACATTCCAGGGTCCTCCAGGTACCTTCTCCTTTCTCTCTCAGTCGCCCTGAGCACAGTATCGGAACTGTCCGTGGATTCCATGCTGACCCCAGATAGCTCCTGTCCCTCCCGAGGTCTTTGTCCTGTCTCAGGCCTCTCTCTGCACCTCAGCTATGGGACTGGACTGCCAAGTGGGGGTCTCATTTAGTGGGGTGACCCTTTGAAAACCCAAGTCAGTCTTGCCTGATCTTTGCCCCAAGCCACACAGGGTCCCATGTGTTTCAAGGTGCTGCACTGGCATTGCCACAGCTCCGCGTCCTCATTGCCTCCCTTCTTTCCTGCCTCCCCGTGGTTCCCTGTGCTGCTCTTGGTCTTGACACCATTAGCAGGAGATGCATTCCTCATTCTCCCTGCTCGCCTCCCAAGACCTCTTTATGGGGGAGCTTTCTGCCACTCCACAGCTGTCGCACCCCATGCCCAGGCTCTCTCCTCTTCCCTGCCATCTCTCTATGAACACAAGGTCTCCCTGGAACATTGTACACACGCCTGGCGGATGTCTGTCCCTGCTCTCTTGTCTGCTCTTATTCCCCTGTGAGTGAGTAGTGCACGCCATGGCTGCTCCATCCGAACTGTGAGTCAGGAACCATGACTTCTCTTCTACCCAGTCCTCCGAGATGCAGCTGCCTCTCTCACAATTACAAGCAGAATTCCACACCTCTCCACCACAAATTTTCAGCCTTGGTGAACCTTTCGGAATATTGAGCATCACCTGCACATTTCAGGGCTCAGTATCACACGCTTAAGATTTAAGGGGTTACAGATTTCACGTCTTCCCGGTGTCACTGTATTGCCCTGACCAGATCACTGCTGCGGGAGTTTCATTCTTCTCATCTGTGAAGGTCCGATGCTGTAGAGGCTGGATTGGAGTGCTTGGAAGATCAAGGTACAACAGTTCTTTGAAAATCAGAAAGTTAGGGCCCAGGGTATAGCTCAGTGGCACTGTACCTGCCTGGCAAGCGCAAGGTCTGGAGTTTCATTACCGGTACCAAAAAAAAAAAAAAAAAAAAAAAAAAAAAAAAAAAAAAAAAAAAAAAAAAAAAAAAAAAAAAAAAAAAAAAAAAAAAAAAAAAAAAAAAAATCAGAAAGTGAAATTTATTATATGTGGGGTCATCCAATATACTTTACTCTTGGTGGGATTAAAAAGGCACCTTTCACCTTGATAACGCCTCACAGTTCCATATTTTGCTGCGTGTGTGAAGGATTCGTTCTTTTTATGGCTGGATAATATTCCTCTTCGTGTACACAGCACGTTTCAGATCTTTGCTGCTGCACATGGGGCTGCCACGAAGAGCACCCATCTTTCTCCACACTGGCTGTATTCATTCACCTGACTGCCAATATCAAAAACTTCTCGGGCCGGGGATTTAGCTCAGTGGTTCTGCCACCTGCCTCGCAAGCACAAGGACCTGAGTCCGATCCCCGGTGCCAAATAACTTCTCCTTTCATTTGTACCTTCACCAACATTTGTTGTTTTTTGTCTTCTTTTTTATAATAGCCATTCTGACAGGTGAGAGGACGTCCCCTTGCCTTTCCCAAAACCCCGATGTGGATGTGGAGTGTTTCCATGCACTTGTTGGCCATTTGTACCTCTTTTGCGAAACAACCTCAGATTCTCATCTAAACAGAAGTGAAAGAGGTTGATCTTAAAGAAGAGCAGAACAGTGACTGCTGGAGGGGAGAAAGGGGAAGGAGGGACAGAAGGAGGCTGGGTGAGGGTATGAAAATAGTGTTACAGGAGGAGTAAGTGCATCGCACAGGCCCAGCGCAGCAGGGTGACACGGTTTACAAAACCCACTACAGCGCATTTTATGAAGAGCTGCAATAGAGGAGTGTAAAGCCTGAAGTCATAAAGAGGTGAGAACGTGGAAATGCTAGTCACCCTGTTTGATTACTGCACATTGTAAACACAGATTGAATTACCAAAATTTAGCCAATACGTATGTATAATTGTGATGTATGATTTAAAAGGAAATGCATGCAATTGAAAAAAAAGCACTTCCTGTGTGCAAAAATCATAATAGTACCCCAATTCCTAAAGGCCTCCCTGGGGGCACTATCTCTCCCAAGTGCAAAGCTGAGTGAACAGAATTTCTAACCCAGCCGCCGGCTACTGACCCTCGGAGCAGGGCACTGGCTCTGCAGCCGATGGATGAATGTGCCAAGCAGCAGGGCCTCCCCGGCCCTGACAGGGTTACCGTCTCCCTGTCCTGCTCTTTCCAGGACTGCCAGCCCCTCTCCGCGGGCGAGTCTGCTCCTTCCGGCCCCTCTGTGCCTGGGGACCTTGCTGCAAGATGGTTCCTCCTTTCCCCGCTCACTTGCATGCTGGTACAAATGCCAGCATTCTGGCGAGTGGGCCTTTCCATTTCTGGACCCCTCTCCTAAGTTCCCGTCCTCTACCAGGACTGCTCTTTACACATGAAACTCTGAGTGTGTTCAACTTCATTTTCTGTGTATTCCTGCAGGCATAGAAATATGTTTTTCATCTCTACCACTTTATTACAAGCCTACTGTTCACATTCACCAGTGATCTTCGTGGTGCAAATCTGAGAAATGCTGTCCTACTTATGTGACCCTTGGGCTGTGACCCCTTCCTCCCTTCTGAAATCTCTGTGTCCTGCTCTTGGCAACAGCCCCTTTCCTGGCTTCCTCATGAGGATGGAGAAGAAGGAGTTGTTTTGGAACTGTGGTCAAATGAATTTCTGTTGTTTAAACCATCTAGTCAGAGATACTTTGTTAGGGCAGCCTTACAAGTTGAATAAAATAAAATAAAACGACTGGGCAAGGTAAGCTAGAATGTTAAGGACCACATTCTGTTGTCCCGAGTGTAGACAATACTTCAAACTGTGCTCTCCAGGGGCCCTGGAGCACGGAGGGTGAAATGGTTAAGCGATGTTTAACCAGGATGTATCCTTAGTTCTTTTTATCTCGCTGAGACTTATTAGCACTCCGAGTATCAATTCACTAAGAATGAATAATACCTTGAATGACATCAGCTTCCGCCAACATGTGAGAGGTTTCTATGGTAACGGAGCCAGCTTTTCAGAGCACAAAACAAGCGCCGTGCTTGATATATTAGTCAGCCAGCGAAAGCGGGGTCCCATGTAGGCCGCAGCTTTCATTCTGCGAGGAGTCATTTATCGAGCACGCATGTTACCATTCCGCTGCCTTTTTCTGAATATCAAAACGCTGGCAGTTGTACTGAGAGTCTTGGCAGATTTACAAAAGTGGTAGCACTCGTTTTCAGAGCCCGGATTTGTTTGTCATTCTTTACTTCTTAGAACCCATATTTTCAACAGGTCCACGGGGCTTCTAGCTCAAATGCCAAAGCGACTTCTCTACCAGAGCCCAACTCTGCTTTCTGTTGCAAAATCAGCAGATTTCCCCTCCAGTCGTGGAGAAATTTCTTTTGTCGTTCTTGTTCATTACAGTTGACATTTTCTGCCAAATAGTTGTCGCCTCTACGAATTTCCTTAAGCTTCTAAACACCACAATTAAAATTAAAATTAAAATTGTTGGACTTCTGGTAATGACACTTAAGTTCCTGATTGATCTTTTTTTGAACAGGGATGTAGAGCAAAAGAAAAGCATGAAAGTCTATTAAAATGCAATAAGCCAGATCTGTCTCCTTTGGAAAGAAGTACACTTTATTTCAATGCAGAAGGCGATCAGCTCCTTCTCCCAGAGGAGTAGCTGATAGGACTGAGTCAGACACAGAATCAAAGCAGTTCCTCTAAAAGCAAGGTCCACTAAGCAAGCCTTCATTCCTAAGCTTATACAGCACAGAATGCACGACAAACCCTCCATCTTAGCAAGGCTTTTTTTTTTTTTTCCTGCGAGGCATTTAACAATGTCTGTATTTTTATAAATAAGACTTCCAATTTCTCACTTGGCAGAAATTTCTGCCACTGTTTAAAGCCAAAGTTCGCAGGGTCCCAGTCACACACTGAGTCTGTAGAAGGAAGAGAGACGTGTGGGGTGCTGACCTGCCTCAGTCCCACCTGGTGACACCTGGCAGGAAGTGGATCTGGATGGACCGAAGTTCATCTGATCCCTCGGCACTGGCAAAAGTCACTCTATTCCCTTGCTCTCATGGCTTTTGGACTTTGCAGGATGATGCAAAATTGGGAAATACAGAGCTGTCTTTTCCCCACGACACTCCAGCTAACAGTTTAATGAAGGTAACAGATCTGGAAAACCATAAATGAATGTCCCTGTGCAGTGTTTTACGTATAATCCCATCTGTCTCGTAGGACAGACTGTACATCACACTGTCCTTGGAAATGTACTTGGTGTTCAGTTATCCAGTTCAAGCATTTTCGTTAGGGATGAGGAAACACCACAGTTTTTAGACTTGCGTTACAGAAAGGTATGTTTAACACAAACATTCATAAATTGCGTGTTAGCCTTTCTTTTCACATCAGAACATAATGACGCCTCTGAAGGTAAGGTCTTCTTCCGGGATTCACAGGCCCCTTCATCTCTCTGGCTGATCTTCCTGTCTTCAGCACCGTGGGGCTCACTCTGATCCTTTCATTTTAATGCGGAACCATTTAAAAGCGGTCCTCCCTCCTTGCCATCTAACTGGAGCGGCAGGGCATTGCTGTCCTGAACAGCAGGAGAAGTACTGTCACCTTGTCACAGCCTTCGCTGCTCTGAGCTGGGCCAGCTGGGTTTCCGGAGGAGGAGGCTCAGCACCGGGGCGCCTTCTGCTCCCACAAACATCACTGTCACCACTGGGATCCTTTGCCGTGTCCTTCTGCCTGGAGCCTCAACTTCCGCTGTCACGGTCAGAGGACAGGGCCTGGCTGTGCCCCCCAGGGATGACATGTGACCCTGAGAGGCTGCAAACCACTGTCAACTTAACTGGGTGGAAACACCAGTCAGGAGGACCTTGGCTGACACAGCACCTATGGGTGATGCCATAGAGGAAAACCTCTGGACTTTGAAAAGAAAAACACAGTGCACAAGGATCTAGTAATGTCACAAGGCCCTTGAAGCCATTTAAGAGGAAAAACATCCTGAGCTAAAGTAAGCTGGTTTGGGGCACCCTTTATGAGTCCTTAATTCTGCCTCAGTTTGCTCATCTGTAAAATGGACAAAATAATAGCTTATCAGTTTATAAAAGCATCAAGTGGCACAAAGTCACTATGCAAACTAGTGTCGAGGATAGCGCAGGACCCCGGACTCCAAGGAGTGACCCCACGACCTCTGGGAGTTGAAGGTGGAACCTACTATAGCTTATCCACGGTGAGGTCTCTGATTCTGCCTGGTGCAGTCTCGGGGCTCTGAGCTCCTCCTGACTGAAATGAAGGGTAGGTGAGGAGGTGGACAGCTCCCACACCGTGAATCATGGTGGTCGCTGTGTATGCTGGCAGCGAGTGAGATGACTGAGCAAGAGCTCCCTGGGCACATTGAGGTGGGAAAAGGGTGGATGGAACAAGACAGAAATCTCGAAAGCAAACACTAAGGTAGCCCTGCTCCTGGGCACTTTTTTTTTTTATGTTTTTTTTTTTTTTTTTTTTTTTTTAGTACCAGGGATTGAACTCAGATCCTTGTGCTTGCAGGGCAAGCGGCGAAACCACTGAGCTAAATCCCTGGCCCTGCTCCTGGGCACTTTGATATGCTGGTCACCCTTGAGGTCACCGGTAGCTTCTTAAAGAATTAAGTAATAATAGTGACAGTGACAGTTTTTCTGGCTTTTACCCCCAAAGACTCATTCACTCTGATGTGGCTTCTGTGAGGTGGCTGGGTCACGGGTATGTGTTACAGGATTAGCCACTGATTGGCTTACTATGGTTCTGGTTGTAGCCAAGATTTACTGAAGAGAGAGGACCCACTCTGGGTGTGGGTGGCACCAACCCATAGGCTTGTAGTCTGGATGGAATAAAAAGGGAAAGGAGGAAGGTTGGCCTCCTGCTTGCCCTGCTAGGAGCTGTTTCTCCTCTGTGATGCCCCTCTACCATGTTACCCAGCCTTGGAACCAAACAACTGTGGACTGAAACCTCTACAAATTGTGAACCAAAATAAAGCTTTCCTCCTTTAACTTATGGGCACTGCGTTTTGTGTCCCAGCTATGAGAGAGTTACTAGGACACTAATAATCATAGTAACAACATTTCTGTGGAGCTGGGGTGGTTCTGGCTGTACCCATACATAGCCCATGTTTACCCCACACCCAGCAGGCACTGTTGCTGCTTCTTATCGTGGAAGAGAAACTGGCAGGAAAGGAAGAAAGGCAACTGGTCCTGAGTCACACTGATTCAGACTGGGGACAGACCTGAATCCACATAATGGGCAACACCCCAAACAGAGCTGCAGTAATGACTTGGGAAGCCAGAAGCACAGCAGGGATTTTATTAGGAATCCTGGAATCCCAGATGGAAAAGAAACCTCAGCATGTAGTGCTTACACATGCGCTGCCCATGTGGCCTGAGTTAGAAGAGCAATTCTTAGTACTTGTTCCATAAAAAGGAAAAAAAAAACTATTCAAGTTTAGAATAGACTTCATGTTTCAAAGAAAGAATAGTATATTTGCATACTTTTGCTTTTCTCACCACATTACTCTTAAATTATAAAAAGTATTATTACCTTTGGTAATTTAAAAGAAGCTCATCATTTCCGGGTCATCAACAGTCCCTGGAACTTACTATAAAATTCCACTTACAAATAAATGTAATGTCTTTTGTCCTAGTTTATTATTTTTATTGTGGTAAGAGATGGAATGAAATTGGTATTCTCTAAGTCACGTATTAGCTATGACCAGTTTTCTTTTTTCTGCTATAGAAATTGATTTCTGAGGATATAGTTATACATGCGATTATGTGAATAAATGCAAAATATCACTGACTTTATAGCAAAACTCTTCTTTCCCATCTTCATTCTTCACAGGTAAGAAGTGATGTGTGCCAATGAGGCTGACCAGGTGCAAGCTGCCTTCGTGGAGTGAACATGTTAGAGGGGGAGAATTGGAAGTGAAGGAAGCCAAGTGGGATTTCCACGGTCTACTTTAATGTGCACAAAGAGATGTCTAACACTGACAATTTCCCCAAAGAAGGCTGTAGTGGACTGACCAATGGGCAACGTCTATCGTTCAGCTGAACTGAATCAGCGTGGTCTGGGCCTGGAGGACCCACCTGAAGACTGTTATCGATGGCCATAGAAAGAGAACTGGGGACTGCTGATTTTCTAGGAGAAGCTTGCTGCAGATGGTTTTTCTGATGAGAACTAGGCTGTTCTCATCAGAGGAGGAGCTCAGGACCTCGCTGTTGCTGGAAATGGCTGCTGTTCTCATCAGGGGAGCTCTGGATCCTCACCGTGAGCATCGCTTCCTGGCTGCAATGTAGATCCCTCAGCCTGGTGGCACAGTTCCTTCATCTCATGAGCAAAGACTTTCTGGCTTCCACCACTGGCCTTTGGGACTTCCAGGTGCAGATCCTCAATACGGACAAGTGTGAGACACTGCTGTGAGCTTCAGGCCACTGGCTGGACTCAAGGAGGACACTGCCTTGGACTCTGAGCCTTTAGCTGGACTTATGTGGGACACTGCTGGGATCCAAAGCTTCAGGCCACTGGCTGGATTTGAGGAGGACACTGCCTTGGACTCTGAGCCTTTAGCTGGACTTATGTGGGACACTGCTGGGATCCAGGGCCTCAGTTGGATTCTTCGGGCTCCTAGTGTGTGGTTAATCTCTTGCACTTCTTTACATTTGACTTTTTGGGTAACTATCATAAAATAATCCTACAAACTATGTGTTCGTAGTAAATGTATTCTCTTGCCAAAACTCTGCCTACAACAAAGACTGAAACGCAACTTAACACTGCCAGTTCCCTGCTCAGAATCACCACCCACCATCTTCCCAGACCCTAAAGAAGCCCTCTCACCCTTCCTTCTGTATGTAGTGTTCATGAGAACATCTGTGATTCCACCTTAAGCCATTTCCTGGTTTCTTCTCTTTCAGAAAGATGTTTAAAGTTTGTGCTTTGACAATCTAGTCCACTTGGTAACCACGGTTTCTGAAAGGACCTCCTTCCTGTAACCTGGGCCCAAAGCTGGGCCAGTTCCAACTCACCTTGTACAATCTGGTCCTGAGAAATCCCCACGGGGAATGAAGGTTGGAGCCGGACAGGGGCATGGCAGGTCCTGCAGGTGCGACCTGCCTCTCCAGTGTCCTCTTTACTCACAAACGCAAGCCCCAAATGCTTCTTTTTCTTGAGCAAACTTCACTTCCATGAGCGATTACACCTGTGTGCTGTGGAGCAGTTTTGGAAGTTAAATATTTGATTGCTGCTCCTTGGCTCCAGAACATTTGGAGATGTCATGCTCTGGACAAACTGTAGCGGAGGCTTCTCTCTACACATTTTCACACGGTAAGTGGTGTGCTCACTCCTAAGCGGGACCATTTTATCTCTCAGATGGTATGAAAATGTTTGTCATTTCTTCACTCATAAAACCAGTATATGAAGAACGTGGAGAATTTGACCAAAAAAGATGAAAAGTATAAATTACCTGTATGTCCACCACTCTGAAATAATCATTTTATTTTGGCATAGATTTTGCAAATGATTTTCTGGTAAATTTGGAGACACACTTATCCTAGTAGATGTAATTTTTCCTGATTTAAAATATATCCTGAGACTTTCTATGTGCTTTTAAATATCCTCCAAGAAAATAACTCCATGGTTTAATAATTATTTTTAGAATGAAACACTTGGTTGCAAAATATTCTATTGCACAGTTACTAATCACTGTTCCCTCTTTGACCTTTGTGTTTTTCCTACTTTGTAAATAGAAATGCTATTGATATCCCTGCAGAGAAAGCACTTTGTGTATTTTCAATGCTCTCCTTAGGATAAAATGAGGTTACTCGGCTAAAAGACAAAAATTTTAAGTGCATTTTAATGCATCACCAAACCGCTTTTGTAAAAGGTCATCTGAACTGATGCTCCTGCCAGTGGGGATTGAATTGCTTAGGCCCTCTCTTTATAGGGACCAGTTTTCCTTTGTTGAAATTTGAAGGACAATGAAATATTTGTAGAAGGAGAGGGATATACAAGTATATTTAGCATATGGGTAAGAAATGCTCAGATAAAGTGCACTGAACTAAATGAATACTACATTAAGCAAGAATAGATTGGGTCAGGGATTCAGCTCAGTGGTTCCACCACCTGCCTCACAAGTGAAAGGGCCCGAGTTCAATCCCCAGTACCACAAGAAAGAAAATAAATAAAATGGTGTAAAAAATGAATCAAATTAAACTACAGCATTGTCTAAGAATTTAGTGAAAGTGCATCAAAGTAAAACAAAGGAAGAAAGGAAAAGGATTAGCAACATAAAACCAAGAGCAGTTCTGGTTCCACGGATTCAACCAACTGAGGTTCAAAATTAAAAAACAAAACTGTCTATATCGAATATGTCCTGAAATTTTCTTTTTCACTATATTTTCTAAACAATACAGCATAGCAACTGTTCATATAGCATTTCCACTGTAGTAGGTATCGTAAGTGTTCTCGGGCTGATCTAAAGTATATGGCAAAGATTGAGTAGATTATTTTCAATACTGCACTATTTATGCAAGAAATTTGAGCTTTCACAGAGTTGGTGTCTTGGTGTTCTGGAACCAATTACCTGCAGATGTTGTGGCATCATTCCATGATGATATTAAAAGTTTAAAAATGGCAGGGCACATGGCCCACATCAGAAAAAGAAAGCTAAGCATTGGTTCTTTGACACCCTTGAGTTGTCTCTGGTCCACTTCAACAAATGTGTCCTGACATCTCATCCTTGTTGCGGAGATGAATGTGAAAGCTGCCTGTCCTTGTACTTCCTTCCACAGAGGAGGTGAGATCGGGATCCTTCCAAGGAGTGTGCCTAACTCCAGGTTTGAAAGTCATGGTGGGGGGATGATCCAGAAACCGGTGGCTGTACAAGAGAAAAGGAGGTTTGATGAATCATGGAAACAGAATGAAAAAAATATACAACTTGTGGGTATCTTGCAAAGCAAAATAGGCTCCAGTGCACATGAGAAGCACACACAACAGCCCACACGAAAGGAGACTGAATCCAAAATGAAATTATAGATTAAATAAACCATGAATCAGAACAAAAATGTTATCTTGTCATTTCATTTGGTGAAGAAGCAACTTCTGAAAAGGAAATGTCTGTTCTTGGTTAAGAAAAAGCATGTGTGTAAGACAGGAACTCAGATATCCCCTTCCTCATTCAAAAGGACACACGCACAGCAAACCCCGCCTCATCCCGACAGCAGTTCTGTTCAGGCAACAAGGCAGGAGGCCACTGCTGGCACATTGTTTTGTTGCCCTTTCTAGAACACTAGTTAATATGGACACGTGAGAAAGGAAGGAAGATATGACTGCAAAATTAGAAAGTGATGTCAAAGTTATCATTAGCAGATGATAACTCTATTTCTAAATGCAGCAAAATCAAATGAAAAAATACAAATATACTAACTGTAACAAAACTATTAAGTACAAGTCATAAGAACTTAATTCATTCAGATACCTAAATAAAAATACCACTTAACAGATTTTTTTACCTGTAACTCTGAAGAAAATATCAGATTAAAATAGCATCCAAACAGGGAGTTTAAAGCAATAAAATATAATTTCCCCAGAGAGTTTAAAATGTAATAAATAAAATCCCATATTGCAAAACATGCAAGAATGGTTCACAATCCCACTTTTGCTAACCACAGTTGTGCGTACAAATGCTCGTCAAACTGGCAGAGGAAACATTTTAAACATCTACCAAATCTTTACATGGCCCCATCAATCCTCATCTTAACAATGTCAAAAACGCAAGATAAATAGCACACTGATCACATGTTTGAGAGTCTTTCTACCTCTATGCCCTTTTCTACCTGTGAGAAAAGGATAGGCTAGAGTAGTCCGAGACCCCTGGTTTCTCCTTGTGAAACTGTGCACCACTCTGTGCAAAAACTCAGGGCAAAAACAAACAGAATGAATACTGAGTCTTTGCGAAAAGAAGCAGCTAATTTTTGCTTTGTAAGAGCAGCTAGTTCCCGAAGTCACGGTCACCCCAGGCACCCACCCTGGCCTCCACCTAGCACCTGTGATGCTGTAATATTAGTCATTTTCCTGCTGTTGGACACAACACCCTACATCCACAATTTAAAACGGAGGTTTATTTTGGCTCCCAGTTTCAATCAATGATTGGCTGGCTGGCTTTGCAGAGGCAGAAGCAGGGTGGCTGAGGGGCGTGACAGAGGAAAAGCTGCTCACCCATGGCTGCCAGGAAGAGGCAGAGAGAAGGGAGGTGCCCGGGCAAGAATATAATCTTCCGGGTCACAGGTCACGCCCCAGTGACCCCCGGCAACCAGGCCCCTCCTCCTAGCGACTTTTTCAGCTACGAATGAACACATCAATGGACGAAACCACCCAATGAATATGGGGACCCCCATTCATCACCTTCCATACAAATGGGGCTCAGGGAGGAGATTTCAGACCTAGACCATAGCTGATGTGAAGGGCTGGGGTGCTTTTCTTCCTAAAAGTCTCCTTAGTCCTGGAGCTTTTTCTCTTTGTAGTCTTCAAAGACCTTAGTCTATCACTTATTTCACTTCTAACCAGCTTTCTAACATCTGTCTAAAATCATTTATTTTCCTATCGAGTTTGTAAATTAACTAAAGTTTCTCCTTTCTTCATTAAAAAGACACACACACACACACATACACACACACACATTTGGATTTGGAATGTTGCCCAAAGGCTCACACTGAAGGCTTGGTTCCGATGGTGCTGTGGAGATGGTGGAAACTTTGGGAGGAGGGGGCCTTGTGGAGAAGGTAGGTAGGTCGTTGGAGGTGTACCTTTGGAGGGGACATTAGGACCCTGTCTCCTTTCTGTCTTTATCTTTTTGCTTCCTGGTCACTGAGGAATCAGGAACTAAAATAAAACTTGACTCCTTCAAGTTGTTTATCTCAGGTATTTTGTCACAGCAATGGATATCAGACTAATACAACAAAAGAGAACAAAGAATGAAAAGAAAAACAATGCCCTTCTCCATCCTCCCATCTGCCATGCCACCAGGTAGGTGAACTGGGAAGCTCTCTGCTCACTTACTTCCTGTTCATTGTCCATCCAGTGCTTCCTCCACTTGCTGAAATCTAACAACTTTCCCCAACAATTAACAGAACCTGCTTTCACTGCAGATTTCTTCTGGCTCTGTGCAGGGGCCTTTTCAGTCTAGCTTCTTGTTTTCTCTGTGACATTAACTACTGTATTAGTAAATTCCCTCACTCCTTTAATCATTTAACTCCAGATTCTGGCTTCTAAAAGGCTTTGGTCTCTGCTTCTTGTTGGTCTACTTTGTAGGCTCCTGTTTTTCTACCCTATCCTTAGAAGTTCATTTCCCCAGGATTTTCTCTTCTCGTATAGTTCTTTTCATCCCATTTGCCTCTTGTACCAGTCATTAGTTGGTGAGTCCTACATATCTGACTGCAGAAACATCCTGAGAAATTTTGGCTCTTCCAGTTAATTTCATATCTTCATCAGTTAACTGACACTCTCTGATTGTCTGATATTAATAGGTTCAAACTTTCAATTTCTTGTCCCCATATTTGTTACCTAGCTCGTAGAAGGACAGTTTGGCACAGCACTATTTGAGGGTTGTTTTCTTTTTTCTTCAGATACAAAGGAAAATTATATTCCCCAGCCACCCAATATCTCAGAAGGAAGATATGGCCCCTGTGTTCAAATTCTGCTGAGGATTAGGGAAGCTAGATCCTTGCAACCTGGTCTTTGTGGTTCCCTTTGATCATGGACAGTTCATACAAGGCCAAACTGTAGTGTAAAAGTCTATGCCTGATGGAGAACTGGACCTGAAATGAGCCCTAAACCAGGTAAAAGTCTGCTATGTTGAATCACTTATTATTGGGCTTGTTTGCTGCGGAGCCTTTGGATAACTTGCCTGGGTGATACCATGGCCAGGTCAGAACCCAGGATATGTGTGACCTCCCCTGTAGCCCTGGATGAGCTTGGCACTGAGTGCTCTGCTGCCCCAGGCCAAGCCACCCAACAGGCTTCTACCTAAATGCAGGCTTTACTGTTTCGGTCCATGCTGGCTCCCTCGTCATCCCTGCGGGTGGTGTGGAAAGCCCTGGACTACCCACTGCTTACTGTGCAGTCAATTTAGGCCTTCCCAGCTCATCTGCTCCCAGGACAACATGAAACACCTCTGGAAGCCTCTCCCTTCCAGGATGCCCACACCATTGCTCTGATAGGAGAGACCCCTCCTCCAGC